ATAGGTTATTGTGCCCCACCTTTTAAAATATATAATTGTTCTTTAAAATGGAATAAGTTGTTCTTAAACTTAAACTTAGAAGTAGCATAAGACTTAGAAGAATTATTCTTAATATCATGGATAAGAAGATTAAAAGACATATTTAATTGAATTTGCTTGACAAAGATTTAAGCAATAGTCAATGTTGATTTTATTCCTCAAAGGTAAAAATGCTCCAACATCAGGAGAATCATTATTTATTAATCAAAATATGCATCCCTTTTTTCTAGTGCAAGATAAGAATGATTAGAAAGAGTGTCCAATAAATCTTGTTGATTTTTGGATTGATAAGTGATCTTGAAATCAAATCTAGATAAAGACATGTTCAGACAATTTTAGTGATGATTCAAAATACATGTTAATATAAAGTACATAATATTCTTGTAAATTATTTACATAATAATTGGACTCAAGGAGTCATAGACATACAATTCAACAAGATTCAAGAAGGTTTTAAGAAATTCTAGAAGATTCCAAAAAATTCTAATATACTCTTAGAAAATTATAAAATCTTCTAAAAGGTTCTAATAGGTTTTAAAAAGGTTCTTCTATATCCTATAAGTTTCTAAAAAGATCTAGTAGATTCAAAGAAAGTTCTAGAAGATCATAGGAAATCCTAAAAGATTGTAGGAGGCTTTAGATGATTTAGAAAGTTACTGAAGAAGGGTCTTAAGCTTGCTTTATTTCCAAGCCTCATAAAAACTTCTCAAGAAGCTTCTTACGACCTACTATATATAGAAGTCGAAACTGAAGGAATCCTCAATCTTGACAACTTACTTTTTGTAGTCTAGTAATGGCCTTCTTCCCTTGTATCCAATTATTATTCTAATGTTGAGTTTACTTCATTTTTTGATCTTTAATCCTTATTTCATATAAAGTTCCTAATAGTTTTTGGAGATTGTCATAAAATAATATTAGAAGCTTAGTCTTTCTTGACAAAGATTGGATTATTCCTCTTCTTGAAAGTATTATAGCATTTTAGAGGTTGTCGATTACCCTTCTTTAGACTAATATTGTTTTTTTTAATATTCTTTTGATTTTTATTTTGATTTTGATTTTTATTAATACTATAGATGAGATATTTTTTTCCTTTGAATGTGTGTATTTTTTTGATTTTTTATGGCAGAAGGTAGAAAAGTCAATATAATAGATTTTAAAAAGATCAAGTTAGATTCTATTATTAATGCTCTTAAAGCATTGAGGATCAGAACAAAGACTTTGTGAAAGCAAAATAAAAAACTATATATAACCATACATAATAGTCAAGGAGCCGGAGTGCCTAAACCACCAAATCAAATGGTAATAGAGGTTCCAAATTCTCAAACAACTATATTTGTTTCAACAAATATAGAAGGTACATCCATTGAAGGCAATGAATTGTTAACAATAACAACAAAAGAACCAAGGATCAACCTTCTGAAAAAGTTTGATGGCATCTACTCAAAATTTCGTGGCTTTGTAAACCAAGTACAACTAATTACCTTGCTTCAACTTCAATGATATTCTACTGAAGCATCTTGTATTGGTTTGATTGGAACCTTGCTCTCATGTTAAGTTTTATCTTGGTTTGCTGTATTATTTGAAAAGAATTCTCCTATATTGTATAATTTTGAAGCATGTTTGGTAGCATTTGTGGAAGCATTTGGTGAACATGGTAAGGTTTATTTTTCAACAACTAAAATTCAAAGCCTTCAAGAAGGAACTTTGGTGGCCTAAAATGTGGAAGGACTTTAAGAAATTTGTACTTTCATGTCATACTTGTTTAAAGTCAAAGAACCCTCAACATCGACAATATAGACTTCTTCAATCCCTTTTTATTCCAAGACAACCATGGTCATCTCTTTCCATGGATTTCATTATAGATCTTCCACCATCAAGTTCATTTGATAGTATCTTCATAGTTAATGATCAATTGACCAACATGGGATATTTTATACCTTACAAGAAGTCAATTACTAGTGAAGAAAGAGAAAGACTCTTTATTAACAATGTCTATTATTACCACAAGTTGCCAAACAATATTGTGTCAGATCATGGGCCATAATTTGTATCATGGTTTTGAAAGGCACACTTCAAGTTTCTTAAGGTTGACATCAACATTTCTTCTGCCTTCCATCCTCAAATTGATTGCCAAACGGAGTGGGTCAACCAAATTCTTGAACAATATTTGAGGTGCACCATCAACTATCAACAAGATGATTAGACTTCCTACTTGTTATTGATGGAATTTGTATATAATAATACAATCCATGCATCTATACAACAAATGTTATTTTACTCAAACTACAATCATCATTCAAAGTTGGATATGATAGAACCTTTGAAGTCGGCAGATCCAGCAGTAGAGGAGTTTGCTACAAAGATGGGCAAACTTCAAGCAACCATAAAGACTCACCTAAAAAAGACTCAACAACGTTATAAGGTACTAGCAAATGAATTGAGGAAGGGACATCCTCTATTCCAAGTTGGTGACAAAGTGTGGCTTCTTTGATGCAATATAAAAACCAATAGGTCATGTGATAAGTTGGACTACTAAAGGTTGGGACTATTTGTGATTAAAAAAAAAATCAATAACATAACTTATTGCTTGGAATTACCTTCATCTATGAAGATTCATCATGTCTTTTATGTTTCACTTTTGGAAAGGTATAAAGAATCAAACATACTCGGTCGAAGACAACTACTACTTCCTATAGTTGAAATCAATAATCATATTGAATTTGAAGTAGAAGAGGTATTAGATTTAAGGATAAGACATGGAAGGCTTGAATATTTGGTTTATTGGTATAAATATGATATCAATAATTGCATATGGAAATCAGCTAGCAACCTTATAAATGCTCAAATGAAGATTCAAAAGTTCCATCAACGACATCCATCTACACCAAAAGCTACAAAATAAAGAATAGTAGCTTTGTAAGATGGCTTCACTATGAAGATTCTTAGTTCTTGGCGTCATAAAGAAAGGAAGGAGGCAGCTTCTAAAGAGGTAGTTTTTTTAAATGTTTAGAACAATATAAGTCAATAGATTGAGTTCATGACCATAGCATGTTTATATTTTTTTTTGTCTTGTCTACTTTATATCATATGGATAGTCAAGAGATAGACACCCTGTCAGTTATACCATCTTAAACAAGTAGCTCGCGGAGATGATCCCAATTTGAAAAACCACTTGAACTACAAAGACGTCAAAGGATACTTAGTAATAAGTTGATGGTAATTGTATTTGAGGTAGAACCTACCTATAAAGGACATCCAAAAAGAGTGTTTGCAAGTCAATTCCATAATAATATTACCAAAGTTCATGTATAGTATTAAGTAGAAGGCTTGGGACACTATCAATGGCTACAAGGGCCTATGAACCATTTGCCTTGCAAAAAACAACTGAAATATATAGTAGACATCATGCAACAGATCTTCAATTTCTTGTGCATATACTATATATAAAAGTATTGATAAGCTCAAGAACTAAGAATCTTCATTGTGAAATACAAAAGAATTGAGGCCAAGAATATAAGCCTACAGTCCACACATAATTAGAGGTTTATGAGCAAGTTTATTAAGTTGATTGGACTTGAGACTCTTAGGTAGAATAATATTCAATAGAACACAAAGATTTACTATCCAAAAAATCATACACTATGTATATTTTCTATACATTTTTTACATAGAGTACAAAAGTTTTCACATGAAGGACCAACAATGAAGAGACAAACAAAATTTCAGTTTTCTTTCATCAATTGGATCATGAAATTTTGCTCACAAGAAAGGTCTTCAAATCACAGAAAAGCATCAACATAAATTCACGTGAAACTCACAAACACTATATTTTAACCAAGAAATGTCTCCAAAGATAACAGATTCCTTTGAAATTCACAAGACTATCAAATTGTTTTTGATATCAAATTTTGATGTTTCTGCAAGTTAGTATCTATATATATATATATATATATACATATACACACTGACACACAGAAGCACACTCTGTCGAGGTAGGCGTTTGCCATTTCACCAAGGTAGTAACAAAAAGGTTGAAGATATATATATATATATATATAAATAAATAAAAATGCACACACACAAATTAATTCTATCATGGCTGTGCCCTATCTGTGCATAAAGCCGTGCAAGGTGAAAGAGCTGCTTACCTCCAATCCCCATGTTAGGACATTGATTGTAACGACCTTCATGACCTCCGTGCATTGCAGCTTCAAGTTCATGAACCTTGAGCATGATTGAGCAACCCTTTCGATGAACCCAACAATTGGTCAATCGAAGGCAGTCAATACTTCACATGTTAGCATTCACCAACCTCAAGCAAATTCACACTCCCAGTGTTTGTGTAGTTACTCCGGAGTAGACGGGACTGTATTGTGAATTCAACTTCGTAGTTAACACAACTTGTAAGTGAGTGTGTTTCTTCACTTCATGCGTGTATGCCAACTGGTCCACCTCACATGCTGCAGCAATAGTGGAGTAATTGTTTGTTCACCTTGAGGTTAAGTCATTGGAAAAGCCCCACTTTCAGTTTCATTCTTTGCTCGGATTATACTCGGAAGAATTTAGGTTAGAATGGTGCTTGAGACTCCCTGTAGGAGGCTCCAACCAGTTGGTAATATTCTGTGGCTGTGCTGCATGGGTTAGTCCCTTGCTGAATGGAAGCTGTGGGACTTAGTACGCCTAAAATTGTTATTGGGACTATCCATGAGAAAGTGTGCTCCTCACTCGTTTTTTCTTGCAAGTCCGATGCACCACATGTTTCGTTTATGGACACATATTTGAGCATCTTTGCGAACATCTCAAACATGTGTCTCTCTTGCAGCTGATAAGTGTTTGGCGGTGGAAGTTCGGGAATTGTGATGTAACTCATAAATCTTATTTACCTCATGCTTAGGTTGTGATGGATCGTTGGAGGTGACTAAACAGCTTGCAGTTTGTACCATACTTCTATCGAAGGAAAGTAGACGTGATACAGAGCAAGTTTATTTCACTGCATCAAGTGATTCTACTCGAACTGAAATTTGGTTACATGATGCCACGTGAGATGAACGAAACTATAAGTTACCAATCCTGCCATCACTAAAAAGTGATAATTGGTCATAAGACAACGAACTTTCCACTAAATGTACCAAGTTTAGGTTCAACGCCCTTCCTTAGTCTCTTTGGTGATCTTGCAGTGCGTCAAGTGAATGCAAATTTAGATACCGTCCAGATAGCTATTTGTGAAGTAAATTCAAAGTTGGATGCATTTGACAGAGTCGTTTAATTGGATTAATGGATGATTTTCCGCATTCTGGGTTAGACATTTGATACTTCACTCCTAAGGACCTTATGCAAGTAAATGATGAATTCATGCCTAAGGTCTTGCTGGGTACTCAAAGGGCTCCAGAGGCTTCCCCGTCAGAAAGCTGTGGAAGAGGGCTAAAGCACGCTTAGGCTGATCAGCTGGCACCAAGTGCCCAGCCGCTCTAACTGTTGAAAAGGTGAAATTCTTCTCGTATACTTGAGCGTAGCCAGAAACCTATGGAACAAACATATCTCAGACACCAATAATTGAGTAAAGTCCAGAGAATTCTCAACGTTTATGTTTGGGAACTTGTGAGTCTAACAGAAATACCATAAAGTCAATGGAGTAGGACAAGTAGGATACCTGTCCTCCTCCAGTGTTTGATTCTCTTGGACCACCATGAACCCAAGGGTACCAGGGTTTCTTCACCTGGATTCCCAGCTGGCTTATCCACGCCCTAGTGCCTGTGGTTGGTACCCTTCCGTCGAAGTCCCCGCTGCTTGCCTCCCCCCACCCACCATTGACAATTTCATTCATAACTTACAGCATTTAATGCTAGGTTTTCTGATTGTGATGCAACCTTGGTGCCCGATGGGAATTCGAATCACATATGCAGATGGTAAGAGGTGATTTAGTACCTGTATACCATAATTCTTAGTCCAGTTTGGAGAAGCTCTCGGTAAACTGGAAGCATTGAAGATAGAATGTCTGATACCGCGTACTTATTGAACACTGTGTTGCTGCAATTATGAACACTTTATCAGTTGAGCTTCTTAATTACCAGTAGAATTCTACTCGGGAGCATACTAATATGTATAAGCTCACCAGAATGCTGCAAACATAAGCTTGCGTAAATTACATAGCAGTAGAAGTACAGTTGTTTTGGTAGTGCTACCTGCATTCGGTCCATTCAATGTCCGGGGAAACATGAAGAGCTCTCTTGACATCTGCTTTGTTTAGATATGGCGTGACATAGTCCAGACAGGGATCAATTGCAGCTGATGCAGGAAAGCTGGGTGTTTTCTGTTCGCACAAGATGTCACAAAAGGTCCAATCAGCAGTTTAGCATCACTCTTAATGACGCATTCTGGTTTTGTATGTGGCATCCGCATGCCTCTTGGATTTGTGTTTTCTGGGACGCACATTCATGACGAGCAAAATTCAAATGTGACCTTACTTGGTTCATGATCTCCTGAGTGGAGACGTTGTTATAAGGAAGGTTGCAGGAGGGGCCATAAATGTTGTAGACGTTCAACCCTGACAGGTCCATATTGTAAAGCACCAGCGTTGCATTGTTACACTTGGCGCTTGTATTCGGCACGTCAATTGGGAACTCGTGACCCAGGTCGCAATTATCTATGAGAGATTTGTAGGTCTCATCTGAGATTAGTGAATGTGAGTGGAAGTAGTCGATTGAGCCCTTATTGTCGAAGTATGCATCTGTCCATGCGTTCCCAACCTGAGTCAATCCTCCACTAATTTAGAGCAAGATAATCATAACTATTGTAAAATGGAAGTCTGATTATTCTAGTGAGTGAAAAATAGTCTAGGAACAGACGCTTATTGATATTGCATGATTGGTTATAAGGGTAGTGAAAGTACCGCAAAGCCCTTCAGATTCAGAAACTGAGCTCCGGGACTTTTGTTATGTTTTACTACTTGCTGTACCAATTGGGGAACATAGTGTCCTGTGAGCCATAAATGACATTTTAACAGGACATAATAACAGTGATTGTCAAACTATCACGGCACGAATGTGGTGATCACAAGATTTTTCACCGAACAAAGGCATTAGTTGCTCTCAACGCTGCAACTTATAAGGAAGCAGGTTTCTTACACATCAAAAAAATCAATTGAAAATCTATCTCTACTGTTATGAGAATGATAAATTTTTAAATAATCTTCATTCTTTCGCAGTTCCAGTCCTTTACATCAATACTCATGAATGCATGAAATGGCAGAAATATCACCAATTCAGGTTTGCAACCATGTCCAAAATCTTCATTAATATAGAGTTAGCAGGTTTCGTGAGGGTGAAAAGGAGTACCGCCATAGCTCTCTCCAATAATGTACATATCATTTTTGAGGTATTCTGGATAGCTCGTGAACCAGTTCACCAGGAACGAGTACGCATCCGTGGCTGCATCAGGCCAGAGCAACAAAACCCTTTGTGATGTACATGACAATGTTGCAGAGGATAGACAAGATGTTTGTACGAGTCGATTATCTGAAAGCCAACATGCATTTTGTTCCAGTTTTCTACTAGAGCAAATGATTTTAGTGTGATTACCTGTTTGTGCATCACTAAATGCTGCGTAGTCGGATTTTTTGTTTGAATAAGAGAATCCCACAGCAACAGGAGACTCCACAAAGACCACATTAGCCTCTGCGTGAACAGATTTTCAGCATGTAATATGTTAATATGTTATCCTCTAACAGCGAGTGTGATCCAGAAGAAACCAGTTTATTTTTGAAAAGTAGTCCTAGTTGGAATATCTTCAATACCTCCATTTCAGACATGGTCTAAAAAACAGAATGCTTTTGTGCAATATGAGATCCACCACCACCGCGAATGTTTACCTTTGTTCCAGCTGTGTTCGTTGAATGTGAGATTTCCCGAATAGGAGACACGAAAGGGGCCCAATTCGGTTAACAAACCGTCACCTACTGAAGAGCATCCAGGCCCTGCAAAACAAGAACCAAATTCATATTGAAACTAAATAATCGTTAACAATATTCATAAAGCACGTTCCTTTCCAATGGAGAGTACCCACGAAAGATCATCAATCAATTTGATCCGACTTGAGAACTATTACTTCGTAGCTTGGGTAGAAATTATACATCTTTCTTAATGGTGAATGATTCTATATACGATTACTATATATATATATATATATATATGTGTGTGTGTGTGTGTGTGTGTTGTGAGTGTGTGTGGGTATTCTGTACATGGTTTCGATCCCAGGTTTGAAGACTACTGTCATAGCTCACCATAACTCTCAAGAAAATCTCACCTCCATTGAACCAGAAGGCGATAGGGAGTGACGAAGGACTCTTGTTGTCAGCTTCCACGAACCAGTAAAATAAGTGCTTACTCTTGGTTTCTCCCACGTCTATGTATCCAGCATATTGGCTAAAGTTCACTGGCGGTTGCCCAGGCAGATCCTTCACTGCATGCTCTAGGATCCCTTGGATACTCTCTAAGAACATCAGCACGAAGACGATCATGACTGGTAAAGTGACGATGTTAAACATTATGCCCACGACTTGCGGTTAAGATGAATTTCAAGTCGTGAAGCCAAGGCACTACCTGAGGAAATGTGTATTTCTTATTATCATATTCAAATATCTTCCTACTGGATCTCATCTAGATTCGCTGACTCCTTGCTTTTGAATACATAAAAAGTACACAACTGATGTTTGAGAATCCTAATTCTATAAGCTTTATGTCCAGATGCCACAACGCTAGGCTACTATCTCATCTGAACAGGCAACAGTGTTAAGAAATTCACACCAGTACAAACTTGCAATACATGGTTTTCACTCTTCGACCTTAACTTGAGTCGGAGAGTCTATACCCTGTGCAAGACGACATCATTGTATATATTTCAGTGGATCCAAAGGAGCCCTGAAATATGTTTACATGCGAAAGCGGCCTTCTCTTTCAATTGAAGAAACGGCGGAGAGAATTGCAGTAGCATCTGTGAACTAACTCAAGTAAAAGCTCGACAAAATCAATTTCCTAGTACGATTCGAACCATGTCATGAAAGATACGCATGTGTGCTTAAAACGACCCATGAACTCAACTGGTACTCTCATTACACTAGCATTCAATTCTCGCTGGAGATTACAAAGACGGTCCAAGAAGCTACCGTGGCAAACAACGCAATAGAAGGAAAAAGCACAGCTTGCAACTTAGCATATTTCAGAACCTGACAACCCCTAGACAAGCTAGTATCCGCTCTGAAAGACCAGTACTAAAGTATCCTTGTGAAGGGTGAAATCACAAGCAGCTTGATAATTATCAACATGCGAGATCGCAGCAGCTGGTGTCCCGAGCGGACGGCCACATGAAGCCCCGAATGATAGTGTGAGGGGTAGTTATTTTGTTGAAGAGAGCACCGAGATGCTCACGTGCTGCCGAGTCTTAGTCGTGCATATATTAGGACCATCAAGGAAACGACGACGACGACGGCCAAATTTCTCTCGAGAAACCAAACTTGGGCCAAATTTCTGCAGACAACCCTGCAACAAGCATTTAACTGGGGTGATAGGTACTGCAATCAGCTACATGGTATGTACAATCAGCTAGAACTTAGTCTCCCGTATAATTGGTACAACACTCCACAATTACATCTCATCTGAAGAGCAGACGAGAGTTTGGAGTTCTTCATTCATTTCCCACGTACAACAAGCTGATTTCCGCCGGTACTGCCTCTTATTGTATCTGACAGTCTGCTTCGCTGCACATCAAAAGATGACGCTCCAGGAGATTTTCCATCACCCCACTCTTCCTCACTTCCCCCACCTACTCTCCTTCTAGAACCTACTTCGATCTGGTGCAATTTTGATCTAGTGCAAGTACTTCACCTGCATTGATCTTCACATACCAAACCAAGACGAAGATTGTCCTGCTTGTTCGATCTTTCCCAGCAACTTTAGATTACCTAGTCGAGTGAGGAATCTTAATTCAGTCTGAAATTGCAACGGTTGCTTCGGTGACTTGTACAAGAGTATAACTAGTGCTACATTCAACACTTGGACTGTGTGTAAACAGGTTAATGTGTTGATGTATGTACTATCATTCATACAATACAAAGATCGCTGAACAGGATTATCAGTATCACACATGGGGTTCAGATGACATTATGTCACCGCTATGCCCACTTTAAGACTCAGTACTTCATACACATCTCTGTTGTACTCACCGTTTCTATACGCTATCTTGTCAGTGCAAACATTTAGAAGACTGGAGTGTATCATGGCTTGTTTAGAGATTATGGAGGCGTTCAGTTTGCTGATTTTGAACGTGCTGATTGGGACCTTACACAACTCGTCTGAATAGAGTTACAAGGATTTGTAAAACAAATGAACCAAGAGAGTTGCAAGGCAATTGACTGCTAACACAAAACGGAAGGATAAAATATTATTTCAAGCAGTCTAGAGTTGAGCATAGTGAGGGCTTTCATCGTCAGAGTCTAACTTCCCTGCAAATTCTTCAAATAACCTTCATTACAATATTTTTGTAACTGATTATCTCCTGCGCTAGTCTTTGCTCCATTTTATTACTTTTTATTCGAAGAAAGTGCAGTAATGGCACATTCTTTTATTGCAAATGATTTCTTCAGTGCATCCTGGAGTAAAACTGCCATTCTCTGAGGAAATATTTATGAAATCTATAACAACATACCTGACAAAAAGATCACGTCTAATACGTGACGACAGGTCCATCAGAAAAACCAGTGACCCTTCAGTTATACTTGGATCTGGGTCTGATTATGGATCGTTGCCATTGGTCATTCTGTAGATGATGTTTATTGTTACGGAATTGCATGAAAGGATACTGTATATATTTGGATTGTAATGAATACATGATGTGCATTCATCAAGAATAGATTCAACAAGTCAACAGTCTCACCCAAATTTTCAGAGCTATTGAAACTGGCTTAGGAATCAAATGTAACAGTCTCATCACCAGCATTTAGTTTTATTCACTAGAAAACTGTCTATACTATTTTATTTTTAAAATCTTTCCCAAAACATTCTTAGCTAATTGATTAACATTCTTAACCAAAAATTGATTAATATAGCTTAGATTAATTCATTCCATACCATAATAAAGTATACAATAAAAGATAAGATTACATAGTTAATTACCAAGATAGTCCTTGCTAGTTTGAGTCAAATTTTGTACTAATAATTTAATTTCTTTTATACTTTTTGGATGATCTCTTTTAATATTAGTAATTATATATTTAAAAAAGAGGTACTGTGAGCTCTCAATTATACTCTAAAATTTAAATTTTTATTATTTTTCTATTTTATGATAATTAAACATGTTAGATTAGGATTTATACAAGTGGAATTTAGTTTTATAGAATTTTTAGGATTACAATCCTTGATGGTATAAATTATAGCTTAATTCCTTGAATTAGGTTAATTAGGGCTAAAGTGATAAGAGTTAGAAAATTAGAATAGCAACTTAGTTAGTTTAATAATTTAGAGGTTGTTAGTTATTACTATAAGGGTTGACTAAAAGCCTATGAGTGCATCTATAATCATTCACATGATTTAGGAATTGGAATTATAATTCTCTAAAAGATTTAGGGAAGTTAGCAATGATAATTTTGGATTTTCCTCCAAATTTGACAAATTCAAGCGGCATGGTGGTTTTTCTACTTAATGGGAGTCTTTTTAATGCAATGATAGCACCAGATTTAGCTCGTGGAGTGAAGAAAACAAGATCAGCAACCTCTCCTTCAAAATATAAGAGAAGCAATGAAATTCTCATTTTGAAGAATTTCACAAAAATTGCCAAGATCCTTGTAAGTAAAAACTTCTATGAAAATTATAATTGAGCATGGATTGAAGTATGTGAGTAGTCGATCATAGCTTAAAAAGGTGTTTTGAACACAATAGTGAAGTTAGATTTACAAAAAAATGCTTTCTTGACCACTTACAAGAGCCATCAGTCTTGGTAATGAGATTGGCTTTTGGATGAATGAAGGCCTTAGATCTAGATTAGGGATCTTAAAAATCAAGGGTGAAGATGTAGCCACCCTTCTACGAGCCTCCACTCAATTGTATAAGAGAGGCTTGGTTTTCTAAGCCCTCTCTCTCTCCTCTTTTGGGTGAAGGACAGAGCCATGCCAAAATTTGGTCAAAACCCTAATCTTAATTTTATTTGGATTTTAATTCTCATTGTGAACCTTGTGATTGTGTATGTATGGATTTGCATTGTGAAAGATGGTCATTAAGTTTTAAAATATGTTTCATTGAGGTAGATATCTCGTCGGCCTTTCAAATACTCCAAGCGTTTCAAGGGCATTGGATTTTCTTCAATCAGTCACTTAATTTCTTTTTTTTCAATGTAAGATTCCGAATAGTTTTAGCTTTTTTTGTTAAATTTCTTACAACATAAGACTTGTTTGATTTGGAGTAAGAAGGAATTTTTGTTGAATTTTTGAGTTTGAGGGAGTCGACTGCCTTTGCAGTTTGAATCATTTGAGTTTGGAAAGGTATTTCTCAGTGCTTGATGATTGGCTTTATTTGAAATTTTGGGAGAATCAAGCTTTATAAGCTAAGCTCTGAAAGGCATAAGTTTTGTTGAACTTGAAGACAATCTGAATTTTTAGTGAATTTCTAAGTGAAGAGGGTTGGTCACTACAGCAGTTTGGATCACTCAACTTCAAAGGAGGAATCCTCACGACTGGATCATTAGATTGCAACGAAGATTATTGGATCAAAAGCATCTTCAAGTTAGCCTTGCAATAAGCTAAGAATCATTCAAATTTAAGCCGAATACAAATTTTGGCAAATTTTGAAATAGAAGGGGGTTGTTGCCTTCAATCTTTACGTGTTGTCAAGGTACCTTCGCTTTCACCTCTTAGTTTATTTTTACTATTATCTTCATAGTGACTTGTAATCTCCACATTTCACTTTTTGGCTAATAAATTTTATGTTTAACTTTTAACCTTTAATATTTTCACTTTAACTTTTAATTTTAACTTTTAAATTAAACTTTTAATTTTAACTTTTCACTTAACCTTTAATCTTAACTTTTAACTTAACTTTTTTTTAACTTAATCTTTTAATTTTAACTTTTAACTTAACCTTTTAATCTTAGTTTTTAGCTTTAACTTTTTTAACTTAACTTTTAACTTAACTTTTAATTCAAACTTAAGTTTTTATTCTTATGGTCAATTAATAGTAATAAATTAGTTAATTATTTTTACTATGTTTTCATAGTAAATTTCATTTAACATGTTAATTTAATGTTGGTAACCATTGCTTGGAAGGCCTAAAATTAATTAAATTTATAATATAAAGATTTAAATTAATCTAACAATTACACAATTGAGAGCTATCGAATTCCACATCTTGGACTTGTTATGTAGCATTGGTTTCATCAAGTGGTGAAACTCGGCCTCACAAGTACCAAAAAAGAAAGTTAGTTTATTTATTTTTGCCTATAAATACTATGAAGCAAAAAGACAAGAAAACTAGAAATCCTTGAAATTAGACTAAAAGCAAGAAAAGAATTGACAAGAGTGAAGTAGGCCTTATTCTTGCCTCTATATATATATATATATATATATATATATATGATTTAATTAGGAGCTATATGGCAACACTCTATAGAACCTCAAACACATGTCTAACTTACAGGAAAAGTTTTTAATATGTATGCCACATATCTAACTTGTACCACAAGTCGCCAATATGTACAACACATGACTAACTTATTGACCACATTTTCAACCTGTCAATCATATATAAACATGTATAAAATCAAAGTTGCATCTATGGAGCTTCTAAGAAACTTCTCTATAAGATAGAAAGAGCTTATTAAAAAGTACAAAATGAACTTGTGCTACAATTATGAAATCAAGTCTTTTTGAATAATTTAGAATTATTAATTATAATTAATATGTTTTCTAAAAAATCAAAAATCAAATTATATACTACCAATACTAATAAAATTCTTGTTTATAAGAAGTAATAAAATATGCCAAAATCTAAGAACTAAAATATTTCAAGTTTTTATTTTCAATCTATTCTTATCTCTCACAATTCCAATCACCTTTTTTACATATAAAATACACACTATTGTGCTATTCACAAACCAACACAAATACAAACACACTCCATATATTATAAACACACATACAAACACAAATACAAACACACTACATATAAAATACACACTATTGTGCTATTCATAAACCAACACAAATACAAACACACTCCACACTCATTGGTTGCACACTCCCTTGAAAATCAACCTAAATACTCTACACACATAATAGACATCCATCAATCATAAAACATATACTTTTGTCTTTTACAAAAATTAAATTAAATTAAAAAAAAAAACCATACCGTGCATTCTTCACAAATAATTCCTCTCCCCAATTGCAAGTCACAAGTTTCTAGCCTACTTCTGACTTGGCATTTTTATCTACTCGTAATTTTTTTAGCACAATATTGATATCCTAATCTAAAAATATTTCATTTTGATCCTTATATATATATTTATTAAACAATTTTAAAATACTTGGAATTGGTACCTTATTGATATATATTTTTAAATTCTATTATTAATGTCCTTCAAGAATTCATGCATTTCTTGATGATGTTGTTGTTTTTTTTTTCTTCTTGTTTAAAAAATTATTTTATTTATTTCTATTTTAAAATTTCCTCTTTCTAAATTAGCTTATATAATTTTATTTTTTTAACAAGAAAAATCTCTTTTTATATTCAATTTATAATACTTTTAAAATATTATGTAATATTTTTTTTTCTTTTAAAAAATATACC